CTCCCTCCCTCCCTCCCTCCCTCTCTGCTTTCTGCTGCCTTGGTCTGAGCTGCTTTCCTTTGCCACACCCTTCCACCATGATGTGCTGCTACCTCACAGCAGAGAAATGGAGTTGATCATATATGGATTTAAACCTCTAAAACTGTGAGCCCCAAAATATGCTTTTCCTCTCCTAAAATTATTTTAGGGTCACATTTGTTTAGGTCACAATTGTTTAGGATTTTTTGGTCACAGCAATGAAAAAGATGACTTAACAACCACACAATTTTTTTTAAAAGAGATGAGAGAGAGAGAGAGAATTTTTAAAAATGTTTATTTTTCAGTTTTTGGTGGACACAACATCTTTATTTTATTTTTATGTGGTGCTGAGGATGGAACCCAGCGCCCCGAGAATGCCAGGCGAGCATGCTACCACTTGAGCCACATCCTCAGCCCCAACAACCACAAATTTTAAAGTGATAAGTTTAATTCACTTTGCGTTTTGTACACACACAGAGAGAATTGCATTCTATTAGACTTCATCCAATCAAAAACAAAAACTAAAAACTTGGGATACTTAAATTAGGCAGGAGTTGTGATGGATGCTGTGAATAAAATAATATATAAACTTAAGGTTAGGGTGTGGGCCAGTGGTAGAGTGCTGTGTTAGTTTTTCATTGCTGTGACTAAAATGCCTGACAAGAACAACTTAGAAGAGGAAAAGTTTATTTTGGCTCATGGTTTCAGAGTTTCAGTACATGGTCAGTCAATCCATGGTTTTAGGCCTGAGGTGAGGCAGAAATCATGGCACATGGGCCTCACTGAGGAAAGCTATCGGCTCATGGCAGCACAGAAGCAGAAAGAGGGAGAGAAAGAGAGAGAGAAGAGGCAGGGACAAGATATACAAGATATTTAATGCCTAATGGCATATCCCTGGTGACCTAATTCCTCCAGCCATGTCCCACCTGCATATAGTTACTACCAAGTAATATATCTAAGTTATTAGTCCATCAAATGAATTAGTATACTAATTAGGTTATAGTTCTCATATGTTTATTATTCAACCTCTGAACATTCCTGTATTGTCTATCACATAAGCATATTGTTGGACACCTTATATTAAAAACATAACATTCTACTTTGGGCTTCCAATAACTAAAGTCCATCTCATGATGCAATGCATTCAGTCTATTTCCAAGAGTACTCATAATCTTAACAGTTTCATCATTGCCAAAAAGTCAAAGACCAAAGACTCCTCTAAGGCTCAAGGCAAACTCTTGGCTATAAACCCCTGGAAAAAAAATCAAAAGCAAATGACATATATCCAATATACAATGGCACAGAGCAAAAATTACCATTCCAAAGGTAGGAAAGGGGGCATAGAAAGAAGGGATGGGACCAAACCATGTCTGAAACCCAGTCAGGAAAATATTAGGTTCAGCAGCTCTACATCCTATGGTCTGGAGCATATAACAATGAGAAGTGATCTCCTATAGGGCTTGAGTCACCCTGCCTCTTTGACATTGCTAGTTGTAGCCAGCTGGTCTCTCTCTTAGGCTGATTCTGTCTATAGCCTGTAGTTTTCTCTGAGAGATGATCCATATTCCTGGCTTCTCTTAACTACATGCTCTCCATGGCATCTTCAACTTCATTCTCACAGCTTCATGCATTACCCTCGCAGGGGCTACCTACATGCTGAGGATTCAACACTGCTATATGCTGTCTGTACTCCAACACCTTTTTTGTGAAGTCTTGATGGAAACCTCCACAACCCCCTACATCCAGCAACCTGCATTCCTCCATAACCATCACCACATGGATAACTCCAGCTCCAGCAGTAGGTCTGCCACCAGCTTTAGCAATAGCCAGGGTCCCTTGGACCATGGCTTAAGCAGCTTCTCATTGTTTGGGCAATTGTATACCATCATATGAATCAGAAGGAAATTACTTCCTATGCACCACCTGTGAGCAGGCTGCCCCTCAATCCAGGATCTCTTAAATAAAAGTTTTACTTTTACACCCTTGAGTCTGTGATTAGTGGGGTCTTGCGGATGGTGCCCTCCAGGCATCTTTCCTTTTCTTGCAGTGTAAAGTATATAACTCCTCTTTTGTGGCAGCAATCTCATCAATAAGCACAACTTTCTTTTTTTTATTAGTTACACATGACAGTACAATGATCTTGACAATTCATACATTTGAATCAAATAATAAGCACACCTTTCTTGATGCCAATTTTACATGAACTTTTCTAAACAAACTGCAAGTTTTAAAAATCTTTTTTGCTCCTAATTTTCAGAGTAAACCTGACTGACTAAAAGCCACCAACAATACCTACTGCCTGAATGCTCTGCTGCCTTGATATTTTCTCCACCAGAATAAGTAGTCCATCAATTCTGAATTCATCTTCACTTAGTCTCATTACATAGGCAAAATGTAGATAAGTTTTTTGCCATAATGTAACATGAATTGCCATGAGTCCAATTCCTGATAGAATCCACATTATCCTCTTAAATCTCAAGAGCACAATATTCATTGTCTGCATTCTTATCAACGTCATGGTCTTTTGAGCTACCACCAGAATTGCCCATTAAGCTCTGCTTACAGCATTTTAAGGCTTCTCCAGCATGTATCCCCAAACCTGAACAAACTTCTCTCATAAACTATTTCCAAAGGCTTTTTCTGAACTACATGGTCAAGTTAGTCATAGTGAGGACCCACTTCTCAATACCAATTTCTGTGTTAGTCATCTTTCCATTGTGACCAAAATGTATGACAAGAACAACTTAAAGGAAGGAAAGTTAAATTTAGGCTCATGGTTTCAGAGGCTTAGTCCATGGTAGGCCTTAGATGAGGCAGAGCACCAGGTCCAAGGGCATTATGGAGAAAATTTTCTATATTTATGGCAGCCAGGAAACAAAGAAAGCAAGAGAAACACCAAAGACAAAACATATAATTCCCAACTGCACACCCCCAGTGCCCTATTTCCTCTAGCTATGCTCTCTATAGGTACCACTCAGTAATCCATTAAAATTATTAATTCATTAAATTGAATAGCTTACTGATTGGGTTGCAGTTCTCATAATCTAATCATCTAACTTTTGAATAATCATGCATTGTTTATCACATGAGCATTTCAGGGACACCCTATATCTGAACCATAACAAGTACTTTCGTAGCATGCATGATAACTGACATGGCTCCTTTCTTTATGGAGCTAAAACTATGATGAAATGGTACCAGATAAACAAGCAGGCAATCATATTACAGAGAAGCCATCACAGGGCAAGTACTGGGTGCTATGCCCAGGCACTGGTACAGATTTGGAGGTGAAAGAAAAGCTTGCCACAAAAGAAATGAAAACGAAAATCTAAAGCATATAAGGTATAAAGAAGCATTAACCATGCAAAAATGCCAAGACATTCATGAAATGAAAAAGTTTCTGTATTTAAATTTTTCTTAAATATATCTTATTTATCCATTCATCATTCATTCATTCAAATTGCTTTGATGATCCAGTTTCTAATTTGTTTTAGAAGTTAATGATGAAATATCTCTAAACCTCTCTGCATTTCTTTTGTGATTCTGGCCCTTGATATGAACTCATCTACTACTTCTACATCTTCCCTACTCTTAACATACATGCTAGCTCCCCTTTTCATCTCTCAGTAGTAGTTGTACATAATCTGGAATGTTTTTCAAGTAGATCACCTAATATACATTATTCATCAGGGTTTATAGCTTGCTTTCCAGGTGACTTTCAAGAAATTATGATAATTATATTTTAAAGACTGAATAAACAGTTGTAGCTAAGGGTGCCATGAAAAGAGCATGAAAAAGTAAGTTTATAAAAAAAATACAATCATCTTTTCACAGTATAGAATTATTGAGGCTTATAAAAACAATTTCTCATTGTTAAAAGAGATTAAAAGGGTTTTAAATTAATTCCTTATATATAATCAACTTTATGATTTCCTTGAAAATTGTTTGCATTCACATAGATAACATTCATTTTCTGTAATTGTAATGCACAATTATGATGTCATTAACTATTCTGACCAAAGTTTCCCAAAGAAGGAAAGTGTTAGTCAACATTTAAGAGATTTTTATTTTTGTGTATTTATTTCAAGTAGCATACTAGTTAATATTAGTGTAAACTACTTTTAATATTTTTGTTTATTTTATATATCCTTGCATAAATATAAATTGTATAAGTATAAATTATACTTTCTACAATTTAATCTTTCTATTCTGTCAGTGGTTTTGGTGAAGTGCTAAATTTTTACTTGAAAAGCTTAGAGCAGAGTAGAGCTCACTTTAAAGGCTGAATTAATTTTAGCAGAACTAACCTTCTATTGTGAGAAAGCAATGGTAAAATCTTGACTACTCTGAATTGGAATTTTCCCTTCTCAGATAATACTAGTTGATACTAAATAACTAACCAATGGCCAACACAATGAATTAACTGTAGAAAACCATTAGCAGCTTTCATATCCATCTTTGCCAATCCTGGGCAAGAATCACTGAATATCTTTTAGGCTACAGTAACATATCTGCAAAGTGAAACAATGGAATTAAGGACCATTCAAATCCTCTTTTACCTCTAAAATGCTAAAATTTTATGACTCTGTGCAAAAAAGACTTAATGATAAATGAATGAGTATGAATCTAGGGGTTTCTAAAGATCAAATGTCATACTAAACAATTGTAGAAGACTACATTCATTATGTGCTCACAATTATTCAATATTTTAACATAGCTTCTCTGTGGACAAAGTATAATCCTCTGCCCACTAATTTTTGGGCTTGAACATCTGACTTGATTTGACCTGTCTAAATTGTAGAAGGCCCAGAGTGGTAATTCAAGGAGAGGCACTGAGAAGCACCAAATGCTTATCTTCATTCTCTTGAGATTGTATTTTCTGTCATATGCACAGCACAATACAAAGAGTGTTCTTCCTGCGTCTGGATCTCTGAGTGAAAAGGCATGTGGAGTAGAACAACTGACTCAAGTTGAGATGAACCTAGCTTGACCCAGTAGAGTTCACCTGACCTGCAAACCTGTGAGCAAGAAATAAATCTCCATGTTGTAAGCCATTAAGATACCATAATTTGCTGTCACAGAAAAAAAAACCTGACTATGTGCTTTTTATGAAACTAATAGAAAAGCAAAACAACTTTTGAAATTCTTATTAAAAAAACACCTCAAATTACTAAAAGTTGTGATGAAAAAGAAAACATCACCATGGACACTACTGAAATACAGAGGATAATCAGAAACTATTTCAAAAATTTAAACTCCAATAAAATAGAAAATATTAAAGACACGGACAAATTCCTAGAGACATATGACCTACCCAAATTGAACCAGGAAGACATAGAAAAATTAAATAGATCAATTTCAAACAATGAATTGAAGACACAATCAAAAGTCTACCAACAAAGAAAAGCCAAGGACCTGATGGATTCTCAGTCAAGTTCTGCCAGACCTTCAAAGAACTCTCAACATTCTCAAATTCTTCTATGAAATAAAAAAGGAGGGAACTCTTCCAAAGTCATTCTATGAAGCTAGTATCATCCTAATGCCAAGACCAGACAAAGACACATCAAGGAAGAAAAACCTCAGACCAATATCTTTGATGAACATAAATGCAAAAATCCTTAATAAAACACTGGCAAATCACATATAAAACATATTAAAAAGATAGTGCACCATGATCAAGTAGGTTCCAAACATTTTACTAAGCAAATCCTTATTATCAAGGTTTTTGATCATTCCTAGATGCCTAGTATTTTCTATATAACCTAAAATAAGACATAGAAAAGAGGGGAAGAAAGGTATATTTTAAGGAAATTAATAATGTATCTCTGAAGCTAACTTAGAATTAGTTAAGTGTTAATGGTATGAACAGATGGAAAATTTTAGTTCAATCATCTAGCACTATTATATATATTATTGATGATTTGGTTGATAATTAAGCTTTACTATGATTTAGTAAATGTTATCTGTCTGAAAAAATTTGAATATCTATATGGAGCTTTCTAAATAATTGGATGAGTCTACAGCTATACCATCCTGAATATGTCCAATCTCATCTAATTAATTGGATGCAATTTATTATTTAAATCTCTAAAATTACATAATCATTGGGATAATTGGTGGTTTGTTTATGTTTTGTAACAGCAAGGGGGCTGGAAGAAATGCTGAACATTTGTCTATATTTATTTTCAAAGGAAAAACATAATTTTCAATTATGTGTTCATATTTTATCTTCACATTTCCTTTACATTCACATAAGTAATCAAGAATATGACTAAGTGCTTATACCAATAATTGAAAGCTTCTAAGTTTGTTCTAAATGCCAGAAAAAAAAGTGAGGTAAAACATTCTATACACTGTAGGGAAGATAATAATTAGGTGTTTTCTAAAGTATATTAAATCCAGAATAATTATGCAGAGAATCTGAATAATGTTCATTACCACAGAAAATATCCTAAAGCATCACAAGGACATTGATTGCACAGCTCACTGCAATAAAATGACATATTGCTAAACTGTATTGACATGTTCAAAAGTAGAGGGCATTTTATGCATCTTTTAACTTAGCAAATTTATCTATACCTAGAAGATAAATTGAAAATAAAATCCTGTGAAAGTTGTCAACAGTGGATGTGTCCTAATTACCTGCCAGTCTTTCTGCTGAGTCTTTATTATACATCATGTCTACATACTTGTCCCACCCAATCTTCATTAAAAAAAAAAAAAACTATGAGGCAAGGTCTATCATTATCCTTACTGTACAGATAGGGCAGGTAAATACTTTGTACAGTATAAGTAGCTAATGCCCAGGACAGATGATTTGAGAACTTGAAATCTTCATGTTAAAGTGTATCTTAGAGATATTAAATAGTAATACAGAGTTATGTAGTTAGAAGCAGAAATTTAAACAAAAATGAGTTTTTGACTATGATCTCTCATGAAAATATTTACTATGAATTTCTTAAAATTTTATTTACAAAA